TCTATGTAAACATTAAAACTTAATTAATTAGGCAGTACATAACAGCAATTACATGCAGCAGCAACCATTCACATGTAACCTGTCATCAGAACAATGACAGAGTACTGTATAGAACTTAGTTACAGTATAGGTTACTGTACTTGCACAAAGCTCTCTGCCTCTCTGAAAAACACACAAAAGCCTAACTGATCTGAAAGATATAACTTACACTTTCCTTTGTATTTTCTTAAAATAACTTCTTGTTTCAACCAATATTATTTATATATACAATACAGCTCAACTGCATATCATTTCACAAAGCAAGGGCATAAATGTTGATTTTAAAATCTTCTATAATAATACAATTTACTGACCTTTATTAACAAGAGGTTATACCAGGGAACATACAATAACATTGACATGCATTATGGACATCTATTCATAAAAATTCACGAAAAGACAGGATGGAAAATAGATATTCACTCCAGCTATACTACAACATTATTCCTGCTAGACTTCCAAGTCCAACGCAGATAAATAAAATTGTTATAGATCATCAATCAGGCCCAAAAGGACTTACTTTATATGCACTCAATTTCCACCAAACCAAAACTAATTGCATGCATACCTCTAGGCCACTCAGGGATCTGATCAATTAGTCATTAAGCACTCCATTAGAGGGGTTTTAAGCTTGCTAGTATAAATGCCCTCTGTCAATTTGCTTGTAATTGAGTGAATCAAAAGAGATCCAGCTATTAGCACACGAAGCATGAATGATGTATCCCAAGTTTTATTATACAAAATATATTAATCTATTACAAGGTGGACGTTTATTTCTGAGTCCCCCTGCTATCATTAGGAGACAACACAAGTCACTTTATGACGATGGATATTTTATGGCTGGATATAAGCATTATGTACAGGTTTCAATTTATCTGATGAGAAGTTTTTCATAAGGTATTAAAGGAGCACTATTATGAAAAATAGCATGCTCTGATATCTAGATATAAATAACAGTTGTATTGACAGTGTTCAGTATTTCAATACTGTACCATTTTTATCTTATGAACTGTTATTTATACATTCTGCTAGGGATGATGAAGTAGGTGCAGCAACAGATTTTATCTTAGGTTTCAACTATTTGTATGCAGGAGACCCCTAGTGGTGTTCTGTTTTGTCCCTGCTTCTGTCATTGTCATTGTTGCTGGCCAGCTTGGTCTGAAAATGTGAAAAATATCAATACACACATAAGTCATAAAAAGAGTAATTTATATTCAGAAAACTCTTGATACACTTTACAGTGTGTCACTATAAACAAATACAGTTAGAATTCAATATTTTTGGTGACAGTTGTCCAAGAATAAATAATCATAGATTCTGAATTAACCCTGTGCACACAGCTATACACCCTTACATATTTATAAAAACAGGTCACAAATATTTAAAATTATGTCCAAGCTGGCCGGTTGTATCAAGGTAATCCCTCTTTGGGCAGTCCCTACTCTACTGTGCAAAGTGGCAAATACTGTACCTGCTTAAGCCCTGGTTCAAACTGATGCACCACATAGCAATCACACTTTGGTGTTCTTTTATCATGCAGAGGTAAATGACTGCTGCTCAGTTCTCTGGCATTCTCAGAGGATCGGTTCTCCTCTGAATGCCTGTTCATGAAACGGTGTAGATTGCTTCTCCTAATGAGGAGAGAAGCAATTTACAAACGCTTTGACCCCCGGTTCACATATATGCGGCCGTGAAGGCCACGTTCATTTGAATGGACTCCCGTGCCCGTGATACACAGGGAAGAAGTCCCTGAACTTCTTTTAAAAACGCAGCCCTAACGGGAACCTTGGTTCCCAATACGGTTGCGTTTTCCAGTGCAGGCGGCGTGCCATTAGAACTAATGGCACCCGCCGCATTTCTCTGTGCAGGTGGTGTGGCTGCACGGATTTTTGTGCAGATCCGCAGCAGCACCACTCGCACAGATGTGAACCTAGGGTGAACACTAGAAAACGGCTGCTTTTACTATAATCTCGCGAGATTACAGTAAGAGATCAGTCAAACACAGTTTACTAAGCAGCAGTAAATTACCGCTGCTTCCTTTGCGGTTCCTCCGATTCTCCAGCTCTGGGCTGGAGAATCTGGAGGGAGAACACAGATCACCAGTGAAGGGCTGACATCACTCCTTCATATACTGGCCATCTGCGTGCTGAGATGATCAGCGGAAAACATGTTCTCCACTGGTCATCTCTGTTTCCTAAACCACTAATGATCTGAGATCAGCAACGATCCTCAGGATCGCCATTGATTTCAGTTTCATAAAAGGACAACTCTGTTCTGCTGCGGTAAAGACACCCCAGAAGCAGGTCGCAAACGCAGTGCTTTTGTCTGAACCAGATTGCATGGGTGTAAACACCATGTGATCCAATTCCAGTGCAAATTTAAAATAAGCTGCCCATATCTTTTTTGATGTGGATGCAGTGCCTTTCAAAATGGATGGGCTCAAATCGCACCGCACAGAATCGCATGTCAGTTGCACAGCAATGCAGTGTGATTTCTGTGTGATTCACGTGTGGTTCACAATGGGAACCTAGGCTAAAGCATATTTTAGTGGTCATATAGGGGTTTATTTTCTAAAGATGGAGACTGCAAAATAAGGCTCACTTCTGCATAGAAACCAATCAGCTTCTAACCTCAGCTTGTTCAATTCAGCTTTGGAAATAAAACCTGGAATCGGTTTGGTTTCTATGCAGAAATTAGCCCAATTTTGCATTCTCCAGCTTTAGTAAGTAAAGCCCACAGTGCCAATATGGGGCAGACAGACACAGTTGGAAAAAAGTTACAGACTCAGGTCTGGGCAGTGATCTGCACTATGCACATGAGAGATGAGAGATGTCTGTGCTCTCTCTCTCTCTCTTTCTCTCCCTCTGCCTCCCTATATACAGTATATACATATATATTATAGTGTAGAAGTAGGTGAACACACACACTTATGGGGATATTGGCCCAGGTGTGATCCATGAAGATATATAGAATATGAAGCAGGCAGCAGGTGCACTCAGCAGGATTTGCAACAGGAGCAATTTTCAAAGTGGTTTTACTAATGTCAACACAAGAAAAGTTGAAAAAAAACAAAAAAAAATAATAAAACCATCTTGGAAATTATTCTGTTGCAAGTCCTGCAGAGTGCACCTGCTTCCTGCTTCATATTTACAAACACGCACACACACACACAGTATATACATTATATATTTTATTTGGGTTTGAGCACAGATATACACTATATTGCCAAAAGTATTGGGACATCTGCCTTTACATGCACATGAACTTTAATGGCATCCCAGTCTTAGCCCGTAGGGTTCAATATTGAGTTGGCCCACCCTTTGCAGCTATAACAGCTTCAACTCTTCTGGGAAGGCTGTCCACAAGGTTTAGGAGTGTGTCTATGGGAATGTTTGACCATTCTTCCAGAAGCGCATTTGTGAGGTCAGGCATTGATGTCGGATGAGAAGGTCTGGCTCACAGTCTCCACTCTAATTCATCCCAAAGGTGTTCTATCGAGTTAAGGTCAGGACTACTTTGTGCACTGGTGCGCAGTCATGTTGGAACAGGAAGGGGCCATCCCCAAACTGTTTACACAAAGTTGGGAGCATGAAATGTCTAAGTATGCTGACACCTTAGGAGTTCCCTTCCTTGGAACTAAGAGGCCAAGCCCAATCCCTGAGAAGCAACCCCACACCATAAACCCCCCTCCACCAGACTTTACACTTGGCACAATGCTGTGAGGCAAGTACTACTTGTTTTTCTGGCAACCACCAAACCCAGACATGTCCATCAGATTACCAGAAAGAGAAGCGTGATTCATCACTCCAGAGAACACATCTCCCCTACTCTAGATCCAGTGGCGGCGTGCTTTAGGCCACTCTATCTGACGCTTTGCATTGCACTTGGTGATGTAAGGCTTGGATGCAGCTGGTTGGCCATGGAAACCCATTTCATGAAGCTCTCTACGCACTGTTGTTGTGCTAATCTGGAGGCCACATGGAGTTTGGAGGTCTTTAGCTATTGACTCTGCAGACAGTTGGTGACTTCTGTGCACTGTGTGCTTCAGCATTCGCTGACCCTGCTCTGTCATTTTACGTGGCCTACCACTTTGTGGCTGAGTTGCTCTTGTTCCCAGTTGCTTCCACTTTATTATAATACCACTAACAGTTGACCGTGGAATATTTCGTGACAAGGAAATTTCATGGATGGACTTATCACACAGGTGGCAACCTATTACTTTGCCACGCTTGAGTTCACTGAGCTCCTGAGAGCGACCCATTCTTCTTTCACAAATGTTTGTAGAAGCAGTCTGCATGCCGAGGTGCTTGATTGTATACACCTGTGACCATGGAGGTGATTGGAACACCTGAATCCAATGATTTGCTGGGGTGTTCTAATGCTTTTTGGCAATATAATGTATTTCCATTCTAATAAATAATCAGTAATATGCCATCACAGGTCACTTTAAGGCCTCATGCACATGGCCCTAAACAATACATTTCAAAGCATATCTGTTGATGGATCTGAATGCAAGTGTATTGTTTTCAATGGGGGCATGCACACAGGTGTGTCAACACACACTTCTTCCTGATTCATAACCATAAAAGGAAAGCATCTGAGGGCATGCATTTCAACTGCTTATGAATGTAAAGGTATGTAAATATATGTATACCCATATACATAGATGCTAAATGAGCATTATGGTATTGAAAAAAAAAAAAAAAAATAATAAAAAAAAAAAAAAAATATATATATATATATATATATATATAATAAAAACTATAATGTTACACATTTAAAACATATTTAACCACCTTCTGCCCGCCATATAGTACAATGACGGGTGGTTCTCTCGTTCATATCACGTCCTTCCATTTTCACCGCGCATGCACGGCTCAGGGAGCGCGCAGAGCGGCGATCGCCGGTGCGCTGTGTCCCTCGGACACAGCGGATCACGGAAAGAGCTGAAGATGTTGGCTCAGTCATGTGATCAGCTGTGTCCAATCACAGCTGATCACATGTAAACATGGAAATGCCGGTTATTGGTATTTCTGTCCTCTCGAACTGTCACGCTGACAGCTCGAGAGGAGAGCCGGTAATCGGCTTTCAGCGGAGGGGGCATGTACACTGATCATCAGGGCACTGATGATCAGTGTGCCCTGATGATCAGTGTGGCCCCAGAAGTGCCACCTGTCAGTGTCCATCAGTGCCAGCAGTCAGTGCTCAGTGCCACGTGCCAGTGCCCATCAGTGCCACATCAATGCCACATATCAGTGCATACCAGTGCACATCAATGCCACATATCAGTGCCCATCTTAGCTGCCTTTCAATGTCACCCATCAGTGCCAGTCAGTGCCACCTCTCAGTGCTGCCAATCAGTGCCACCTATCAGTGCCAGTCAGTGTTGCCTATCAGTGCGCATCAGTACCGCCTATCAGTGCCAGTCAGTGCCGCCTATGGTTTGTTTAAGAAAAAATAAAAATCCCAGAGGTGATTAAATACCACCAAAAGAAAGCTCTATCTGTCTCAAAAAAATGATAAACATTTCATATGGGTACAGTGTTGCATGACCGCGCAATTGTCATTCAAAGTGTGACAGCGCTGAAAGCTGGAAATTGGCCTGGGCAGGAAAGGGGTATAAGTGCCCTGTAGGCTAGTGGTTAAAAAGCAAGCAACTTACATATTATTTATGCAGGAATTTTTGTTTCAAAAAAATCTTGCCTATATGATTAGTAATATTCTCACTGTGTGCATGTAGCCTTATTGTGTCATCCCCAAGAACATACATTTACTGCAATGCAGATTTCTGAATTTCTTATACTGTAATAATGCCTAATGTCCACATAATGACATTATATGTATGTAAATATATATATATATATATATTTTTTTTTTTTTGCATCCCTGCAAGCTTACACAGGGAAGCACAAGCATCAGCTTGCTGCCTCCTGTAACATTGATTCCCTAAGCTCCTTTCTATGTGGCCTACCCATAAATCCACGTCAGAGTATAATGCAATCTAATAATAACATAATACTTTTGTCAACACTTACTGCAGCTGAATCATAAATTACAAATGAAAAGTGGAGATGTTTATTCACTATATCCAATCAAAATGTTCAGCATTCAGTTTCTAAAAAACTGGGGCGAGCAGGCGACCTGTACAGGCACAGCGACTTACCTGTACGTCGCTGGCCTCTTCTGGGTACAGGGTGCACACCCCCACCCTATGATTCCTGCTGTGATTGTACACAGAGATAGTTTGTTAGCAGGTCCCAGCCAATGATTCACGGCCAGGATCTGCTGATGGGCTGTGTCCAATCACATCACAGAGCCCTGTGTTAACAATCAACACAGGGCTCTGTACACAGGGAACAATCTCTCTGTTTATTCTCCCTGCAAATCAGGGAGAAGAAACAAAGAGAGATTTAGTAAAAAGCAGCACATGTTACACAAATTAACACTTGTTAGGCACACATTTAACCCTTTGATCACCCGAGTTGTTAACTCCTTCCTAGCCAGTGTCATTAGTACAGTGACAGTGTATAAAACTATCACTGATCACTATATTAGTGTCACTGGTGATGTCAGTGGCAGTTAGTTCTCATCCAGTGGCAGTTAGTGTCAGATTGCCCACCACACTATCACAGTCTCACTATAAATAAAACCATAGTTTTTAGACACTATAACTAGAACCAATCAATACACACTTTTTTTTACTTTTTATTTACCAAAGACATGTAGTAGAAAATATTTTGGCCTAAATGTATGAAGAAATTTGATTTTTTTAAAAATTTTTATTGGATATGCTTTTAATAGCAGAAAGTAAAAAACACAGTTTTTTTTCCAAATGATGTGGTCTCTTTTCATTTATATTTATATGATCCATGTCATTTGGATAAAGTGTTGCAGCTGGTTTTTACAGTGAGTACAGCTGGGAATTTAATTACCAGTTAAAGTAGCGCAGTGCTAAATAGCAAACATGGCCTGGTCATGAAGGGGGAAAACCTTCTGGAGATGAAGTGGTTAAGAAGTAAAATTTAAAAAAAATATTAGGAATTGAATTGATTATTACATTATGACTTGAGTTTTATATATATATACACACAAACACATATACAGTAAATATGAGCTGCTTCCTATACAGGTCATAGGTCTAGTTTATCAAAGCGGCCATAGTTCATTAAACAATGATGTTTAAATACTATCAAATGTTTTCACCACCTGTAGCTTTGTCTTTACTAATAAAGAAACATCTGTGGACGACACCTTTGGGGGTGATACACAAAAGGTGTCATAATTATTACTGGTTAAGTGAACCCATGTTTGCTTCAGCCATTCATTCATATGCATGATAATTTCTTGTTTTATTAAAGCTAAACTCTAGCCAACATTTTTGTTTTGTTTAGAATGGAAAAGTTAAAGTTTTGGCCAGGTTTTTAATTTTGCCTTTGACCCCACTGCAAATAAGTAATTCCTACACTTCTGATCTCTGTGATACCCATACAAGAAATTGGCAGGTGTGGTTGTCACTAGTAGACGACAGCACTGAAAGAAATAAACTGTCATTGGTTCTCATTATTCCCTACCCTATTAAAATGTGATTTGTGTGCCCCCCTTGGGGAAATTTTCTATTGTTCCCTGTCCTAATAGGTAGTGAGGTGAATCCTCTCTATATGGGAAACAGTTGGAAGCAAAAACTGGCAGAGTGTCTAACCCTTCCACACACTATCCAAAATAAAATTAAACATTTTGGCTGGAGTTATAGACATAATCAGGTGGTTGAAGGGAACACGGGTTTATTTATTTATTTATTGACTCTCAGATTGCATTGAGCTGCATTCTCTGGGCATGGCAAGTGTTTCTTAAGCTGCTGCCTGCAATGGAGGTCTCAGTTAAAAAGACATGTACATACACTACTTTCTTTCTCCAACAACAGAGCATACAGTATGAGTTATTTACAGTGGATAGAAAGTCTGCACACCCCTGTTAAAATGACAGGTTTCTGTGATGTACAAAAATAACACAAAGATAAATCATTTCAGAACTTTTTTCACCTTTAATGTAACCTATAAACTGTAAAACTCAGTGTACAACAAACCTTTTAGGTGGAGGGAAGTAAAAATAAAAAACTAAAATATTATGGTTGCATATAAGTGTGCACACCCTTAAACTAATACTTTGTTGAAGCACTTTTTGATTTTATTACAGCATGGCACATTTGACAATATTTGCCACTCTTCCTTGCAAAAACACTCCAAATCTGTTAGATTGTGAGGGCATCTCCTGTGCACAGCCCTCTTCAGATCACCCCACAGATTTTCAATCGGATTCAGCTCCAAGCTGGGTTGGGGCATTTCAAAACCTTAATCTTCTTATGGTGAAGCCATTCCTTTGTTGATTTGGATGTATGCTTCGGGTCATTGTCATGCTGAAAGATGAAGTTCCTCTTCATGTTCAGCTTTCTAGCAGAAGCCTGAAGGTTTTGTGCCAATATTGACTGGTTTGGAATTGATCATAATTCCCTCTACCTTGACCCCAGTTCTAGCTGAAGAAAAACAGCCCCAAAGCATGATGCTGCCATCACCATGCTTCACTGTTGGTATGGTGTTCTTTTGGTGATGTTCAGGGTTGTTTTTGCGCCAAACTTATCTTTTGGAATTATGGCCAAAAAGTTCAACCTTAGTTTCATCAGACCATAAACACATTTTCCCACATACTTTTGGGAGACTTCAGACGTGTTTTTGCAAAATTTAGCCGGGCATGGATGTTTTTCTTCGTAAGAAAAGGCTTCCTTCTTGCCACTCCTACCCCGTAGCCCAGAAGAATACAGGAGATTGTTGTCACATGCACTACACAGCCAGTACTTGCCAGATATTCCTGCAGCTCCTTTAATTTTGCTGTAGGCCTCTTGGTAGCCTCCCAGATCAGTTTTCTTCTTGTCTTTTCATCAATATTGGAGGGATGTCCAGTTCTTGGTAATGTCACTGTTGCGCCATATTTTCTCCACTTGATGATGACTGTCTTCACTGTGTTCCATGGTATATCTAATGCCTTGGAAATTCTTTTGTACTCTTCTCCTGACTGATACCTTTTAACAATGAGATCCCTCTGATGCTTTGGAAGCTCTCTGTGGACTATGGCTTTTGCTGTAGGATGCGACTATGAAAATGTCAGGAAAGACCTATTAGAACAGCTGAACTTTATTTGGGGTTAATCAGAGGCACTTTAAATGATGGCAGTTGTGTACTGACTCCACTGCAACCACATTATTTTAGTTTTTTATGTTTATTCCCCCCCCCCTAAAAAAAGATTTCAGTTTGTTTATCAATTGAGTTGTACAGTTTATAGGTCACATTAAAGATGGAAAAAGTTTTGAAATGATTTATCTTTGTCTCATTTTTTCACATCACAGAAACCTGACATTTTAACAGGGGTGTGCAGACTTTTTATATCCACTGTACTTATTTTTGACCTGTTGCTACTCTTGATGCATGCTTATTTAATTGGTTAGTGAGCAAATCACATCCTCATGCTAGCCTGCCATGTAAGTGCACTACAGTGATTTATTCTTGCTCTTGTTTATTTACTCTAGGCTGAAACATACTATTGCACTGAAGAGAATGGTGGTTAACACCAAAGACGTAACGAGAATCTTCAGGGCCCTGGTGCAAAAATCCATGAAGTGCCCCCATAACCCGAGCCTGGGGGCCCTTTACTTCCATCATGGGGACCTTTATTATGGTCCAGCAGTGGGACCCTTTCACATGTTCTGCAGCAGCCCCCCTTCCTGCCCTTATATTAGAATCCCCCCCCACATAAGAGTTTCCAGCGTTCCCAGAGCCCCCTTTACAGTACATCAGAGTCTGCAGAATTTGCTTTACTCTATGGACCCTGATGTAAAGGGGAACTCTGCAGACCGAAGAATGTAAAGGGGAACTCTGCTGACTCTGTTGCAAAGGGGATCTCTGAGGACCCTGATGTAAGGGGGAATGTTGCGAACTCTGGTTTAAAGGAAAACTCTGGTTTACACCAGAGTCTCAACATTCCCCTTTACACCAGAATCTGCAGAGTTCCCCGTTACACCAGAGTCTGCAGAATGAATACACTAAACTAATGGGAAAAATATTGATGCTGCGCTACCCAATCAAACAGACCCCTAAATAATGATAAATCAAAGTGAAATAGGTGCAAATGAAATATATAAATATATTAAAAAAAACATATTATTATACAGGCATTTAAACCTCATGCTATGGTGTACCTCTGCATGGGTTTCAGGTGTGCCAAGATGGCGTCCACGCCGGAAGTACGTCACCACCGCGTACCGGAACTACCTCACCAC